TAGTTCCCCTCAGCAGGGTCCTTCCCATCCCCCGGATGAGGAAATCGAGGCTCAGTCACTGCAGCCGCCGCAGGGAAGAGGTGGCCTTGGCGTCCTTAGGCCCAGATCTCTGGCTCAAGCACGTGGCTTTGTGGCCAGTAGAGAAAGGGACTTCTTAAAACCCCAAAATACAGGAAAGGTCGTCTGGTGGTGGCTAATGTCACAGCGAGGGTTCATAAAAGCCATTTTACTGTTCCTGTTTGTTCCTCCTGGCACCACAAGGAACACAGAAGCAGGTCACCTTGAAGCAAGAAGGTGGGGGGCCAAGTTGGGTCTCCAGATTGGAGCCCACGGAGGGCAAAGGTTGTCCTAAGGTCACACAGCCAGTTTGTACGGGCCACCTCTGGCCGAGGACTGGGGGTTTTGTCTTCTCCCACCCGGGCATGACCTCCAGGGGAGAATCCTGGCAATGGGGGGGCCCCCCTGGCCTAGGACACGGCCTGGGGGTGGGCTGGAGCCCGGCACTGCTGAGGGAGGTGCTCGCAGCGGCCTCAGTGGGGCTCAGGACCCTCGGCCCCCCGAGAGGGAGGGCCTTGCCGATCCTCTCTCCTGTGGATGTAACTGGTTTTCTTCTCTCTCTCTCCCTCCCTCCCTCTCTCTCTCTCTCTCTCTCTCTGCGTGTTTCTCTTTGCTGTTTCTGTCTCTCCCACCCCCTGCGCATTCCTTCCCTCGCCCACCCTATTTCTGTCGCCTGCGCCTGCGGCTTTGGGGGCGTCCCATTCTTCTACCTCCCCTTCTGGCCTGGTCCTGCCTGCTTTCTCGCTGTCTGCCCCAGGAGGTAGGTACACGGCTGCCCTCGCTCCCCGACACCAGACGAGGGGAGGAGGCTGGGGCTCGGGCTCCTGGGCCCTGGGCTGGCAGACAGGCTCAGAAAGCGTAGAGCCCCACGCCGGGGGTGGACCAGTTCCCGGGCCCAGATGCGCCTGTCCCTGCTTGTCTGTCTCTTCCCACGCATCGCTTTGTCCTAGGCCCGCCAGCCCCGCCTTCCCTCTGCTTGCTCTGCCTCTCAGTCCCCTCCCCACCCTCCCAGAGGCCCTGTCCCTGTGTTGAGCCCAGGCCCCCTCCCGCTCCTTCCCTTTCAGGGGGTCGGGTAAAGACGTGGAAGCGGCGCTGGTTTATCCTCACAGACAACTGCCTCTACTACTTTGAGTACACGACGGTGAGGACAGAGCCAGACTATGCTCTGGGTCCTGGGGTGGGGGCCAGAACCCCGAGTCTGAGGGAGGGGGGTGGCGGGGAGGATTTGGAAGGCTAAGGCCTGTTCAACTTGCTCTTTCAGGATAAGGAGCCCCGAGGAATCATCCCCCTGGAAAATCTGAGCATCCGAGAGGTGGACGACCCCCGGAAGCCGGTAAGACCCTCTCTGTACCCCTTCCTGCCACAGTGGGGGCCCCTCTAGCCCCCGGGCTGGCTCTTAACCTGCCGTCCCTGCTCCCCTGTGTCCGCCCAGAACTGCTTTGAGCTTTACATCCCCAACAACAAAGGGCAGCTCATCAAAGCCTGCAAAACGGAGGCCGATGGCCGGGTGGTCGAGGGGAACCACATGGTCTACCGGATCTCAGCGCCCACACAGGAGGAGAAAGACGAGTGGATCAAGTCCATCCAGTGAGCCTGGGCTTTGGGGTCCTCGGGGAAGTGGGGGGCTGGGGCCCAGACTCCCTGACCCTCACCCTGGGGTCCCTCCCCTCCGCAGGGCAGCTGTGAGTGTGGACCCCTTCTATGAGATGCTGGCGGCCAGGAAGAAGCGGATTTCTGTCAAGAAGAAGCAGGAGCAGCCCTGACCCCCCGCCCCCAACTCCGTTATTTATTACTGAGCCGCCCCGCCCACGAGGCCGGACCCGGGACCTGGGGCTGCGGATCCTGGTTCCCCCTTTGGAAAATTCACCACCTCTAGCTCCTCTCTTATTTGTAATTAACACGCTGTTGGTAATCTTATTAATTATTGAACCGCTCCTGGCCTGTGGACCCCCTCATTTCTTGGGGTTGACACAGCCGAGGTACTTGGCGGAGCCAGCCAGTCCGCCCCATCTGTGACTGACCATGACCGTGACCGTGACCAGGGCCAGGGGTGCCACTCTGGGGAAGGGTGCCATCCAATTGGGTGGCCCCCTGGGGGCCTCTGGGGTGGCTCAGTTCTGGCTGCACCCCAACCCTGGAGTAAAGGGAGACAGTTAATGTGGCGGGAGTCGGTGTTGCATGGGACCTGCCCTGGAACGCGGGTATTCTGGGTGATGCGGGTATTCTGGGCGACACGTATGCTGGGCAAGGTCCAGATCCACCCTGGGTGTCACCCCCATCTCCACCCTCCTCAGTCAGACTTGTGATTTGAGGGGTGGCAAGTAACGCCTGACGAGCTCGTGAGCTGGGCTAGTGCTTCTGGGGAAAACCAGAGAGCTGGGAGGCTACGCGAAGGGCAGACGCGGAGGGAAGAGGAAGAATGCCCCCTCCCCTGGGTGCGGGAGGGACGGACTTGGTCTCCCTGGGGTTCGCCAAGAGGTGGCTGGAGTCGGAAGTGGGCGGGACCGGAGGGGTGCCCCCGCTTCTCAGCCCGCGGAGGATCGTCCTTGTGAGGACAGGCCACACCAAGCAGCGATAGCGCTGGGAGCCTGCGTTTCTGTCGCATCTCCTTTCCTGGGAATCCGCCAGCCTCCGAAGTGTAAGGACCACTTCCGTTGGGGTTTGGGGTGCTCCTGAGGTCAAGGTCCGGGCCTGTCCCCTTTTACTCTCCAGCTTGGGGCATGTGTGGTATCCCCACGGAGCAAAGACTCGTGGATCCCGAGAGGGGTGATTGGCAGGTTGGGGGACCCCACGTCATTCTACGCGGAGATCTGTAGCTGTGGTGACTTTAGTACAAAGAAACCACGACCCCGGGCGGGCCGGGGACCAAGACTCAGCTAGAAGGGAATCCTGTCGCCCGGGTCGTGCCCGAGAGCAGTTTCCCACACGCAGTGTTCCCATTAGGCTGGGGGGCAGCACCCCGAACCTCGGGCCTGGGTCCCGGCCCTGCCCTTGGCCACAGGCATCCGCAGACATGAAGGGACCCTGAGTACAATAACACTGCCTCCCCAGCAGGTGGCGCACCCTTCCCTCGGACTACGATTCCCGGCAAGCCTTGCGGCGCTCGCCCCCTCAGCGGCGGGAGAGCCAGTCTCGAAGTCTTCTGGGAGTTGTAGATTTTCCCAAGACAACGCTATCAGATTAGCCTGGTCCCCAATCCTTACGCAGGTTGGGAAAAGAGGCCTTGACTGCTTCAACCCTAGTGGCTGATGGGAAATAGAGTTCCCGACTCCTCTCAAAGGTCCCACGGGAATGGAATCATCAACGCCAGGTCGTGGGAAAGGAGGTCCTGGGGAAAATAAAGGGTCCCACCCTTATTCCAGCCTGTCTCGCTCTCCTCCATGGAATGAACCCAGAGGTGCTGAGCGCCTGCCCTCTCCTGAGTGGCTCAGTGGAGAGGCCTTGGAAGAGCATCCCAGGCAAAGGGAGCAGCGCGTGTGGAGGCCAGGAAAGGCCTGGGGAGCTGGAGTCACTTTCAGCCGGGCCGGATCATTCGGCGCCCGGACAGCCACGCTAGGACTTAGGATATATTCTCCGCCGGTGGGAAGCCATCCCAGGGGGTGGAGTAGGGGAACGATGTATTCGGATCGAGGTTGTAGGAGAGGCCTCTGGCTGCTGCAGAACAATCTGGAGATGAGCTGGGGCGATAGCAGGGAGGTGAGTTAGGAGGCTGGAGAGGGGGGAGAGGCGGCTCCACCTGCGGCGTTTGGAAGAGCCAGTGGGACTTGCTCAGGGCTCGGATTCTGGCCTTGGCAGTGCCATTCCCTCAGCGTCAAAGAGGGGATGTTTGGGGGGCAGGGAGGGAGAACTCAAATGATTGTATTTGGGGCAAATGAAGCGGGACGCCTGTGGAACATTCAAGCCAGACTCCAGTCACCTCAAAATTATCCTTTGGTACCTCCCCCTCTCCCATCCATTTTCTCAAAGACCGCGATTCTGGCTTCCGACTCCCTCCTCTCCCGGGCCCCCTAACGCCCAGGGGTACAGGTTGGTTGTGTCCCTCCAAAACTCCCCTGGGGAAGCCCTAACCCCCAGGACCTGGGGACGTGACCTTATTTGAAAACAGGATCATTGCAGATGAAATCAGATAGGACAAGGCCATTAATGTGGGCCCCAATCCGAGGCGACTGGTGTCCTTCCACAAAGGGACATTTGAGACGTGGAGACACCCAGGGAGAACGCCATGTGATGATGAAGGCGGAGATCGAGGTGATGCATCTACAAGCCAAGGAACCCCAACGATCGCCAGCAAAGCCCCGGAAGCTGGGAGAGAAGCAAGGAACAGATCCTCCCCTCACAGCCCTCAGAAGCAACGAACCCTGCTGACACCTTGACCTTCGACTTCCGGCCTCCAGAACTGTGACAGGACGTCTGTGGTCTAAGCCACCCAATTTGTTGTACATTGTTAGGGCAGCCCTACTGAACTAGTACATCCCTCCTCTCCGCCCTAAGACCAGGAGTCTGCAACCTCACCCCCTGCCTGGCTTAGCTCCTTCCACGCAGCATCCACCCTGAGCAGGTGTGTCCCAAGGTCAGTTTGAGCACCACCAGGTCGCCTAGCAGTGGCAGTAACAGGAAGAGGCCACCACCTAATCCTCTCCCTCCCCTTCTCCATCTCCCACGACTTCTAGGTGACCCTAATGCCCCCATCCCCTTAAGCCAGGGATCCACAGCATCCCCGCTGGGTCCAGTCTTCTGGTCCCTTCCCTCCTCTCTCGTCCAAACTGCATCCCTCAGATATGCAAGTGGATCTGGTACCAAGGTGACGGGGGACAGGCTGCAGCCAAGAATCAGAGACGCAGAGGGTGGGGGTGCGGGGGGGGAGGAGACAGATGGAGGCAGAATCAGTCAAGAGTCAAGAGAAATCGAGAAAAAGACATCAAGACAAAAACGCAAGGCAGAACATAATAGACACAGGAAGGCGACAGGAAGACACAGACAAGGGGGAAAAGTACAGACAGAGAAACTCAAAGAAATAGAAACAGAATTAGACAGGAAGAAGGAGGCTGAGCAATAAGGCACGAATGGAGAGACGGGGAAACAGCAAGACGGGTGGGGGCCGGGACTGGGCTGGGGAGACAGGGGGCTCACAAGGACAATGCCAAAGATGCCCACGGAGAGATTCGGTTAGGGGGAAGGCAAGATGTGAGCATGTCAGGGAGGTGGGTGGTCACGTGGAGAAACAGGTGAGCTGAGGCAGAGCCACCAGGGGCAGGGAGATAAATCCTGGTCTTCGAGGGACAGGCAGCGCCGTTCTGAGAAGCCAGGAGGGATGTGGTCATCCGGTGTGCGTGCCGGTCACTTCTGGGCACGCCCCCTCACCAGCCCTGGCCCTGGCACCGCCTCTGGCCACCACCACGGGCCACCTGGTGGACACACGGCTCTGACCGCAACCTGCCATGTTCCCCAACCCTCGCCGGCTCCTTGTCACCTCTTGAACAGCAAGTTGAGGCCGCAGCCGAGGTCGGTGATGCCAGCAGCAGACAGGACATGGAATCCAGGGGAAGCCAGGGCCCCTCTGCCTTTCTGAGCCTTGATGTCCCCGTCTGTCAAACGGGGCGGTGAGGACGGCGGCTTCTCCTGGGCGGCACCCACTCCCTGCAGCCACCCCTTTTCGCTCCCTGAAACATACACAGGCCCCGTGTTCCTCCAAAAAGTTATTTTTGTCTTTTTTAAATAATGTGAAAATGCCACGCGAAGGTTTGAACCAGAGGCCCCCCCAGGGGCCAGGCTGGGGCGGGGAAGGGGAGACGCGAGATGGGGGGGTCCAGGTCCCCAAAGCCTGCAGCCCCGTCTGGGGCCGGGAGTGGGTGAGGAGGGGCCTCCGCTGTGCCGAGGGGCTCCAGGCCCGAAAGAGTTCAGTTCAGTTCCAATAAAGGTGGCTCTCCAGGGAGGGGCGAGGGGCTTCCTGCCTCATTTGGCACCGAGGGGGTCAGGGGCGTCAGGGGACCCGTCAGGGAGGCTGGGGGGTGGGGGGCCAGGGCCTCCCGTTTGGCACATGGTGGGGGAGGGGGAGGGCCCAGCCTCAGGGGCCTCCCCAGAGGCGGCGTCTGTGGTGGTGGCAGTGGCTCCGTCATCCACAGAGGATTCTACTCTCAACCCCTCTTCTGGGGGTGCGGGGGGTTCAGGTCTTCGGGAGGTCAGTTCTCCACGGGGCCTGAGGACAGAGGAAGTGGACAGAGAAATGGAATTACTGGGCAGATAGACTCATGGCCTCTGGCTCACTCCGAGTGAAAGCAAAGGCCTCACTGTGGCCCACGAGGCCCACCCCAGGCTGCTGAGCCCCTTTTCCACCCTCACCTACCCCCTCCCCTTCATTCACATCCTCTGTAGCCACACTGGCCTCACCGTTCCTTCCGGGCCCCAAGCACAGTCCTGCCCCAGGGCCTTTGCACGTGCGGTTCCCAGTGCATAGGACCCCATTTCCTTAGTCCTTCCCTTGTAACTCGGGCCTGGGAGGGAACGCCTCCTCGGAGGCCTTCCTCGGCCATTCACCATCAGGGGGGTGCCCCCTCGCCCCGCCCCCCACAAGTCACTCTATCTCACTGCACTGTGGTTGGCTTTCTTCACATTCTTCCTCGGCCATCGTCGAAGAGCTCCCCGTCCGCTTGTCCCTCTAGGACGTAAGCTCAGGAGGGACAGGTCTGTGTTCGGTCACTGTTGCATCCCCGGCATCCAGCACAGGGCCTGCCGCAAAACGCCCTCCCACCGAGCTTTCCCGTGACCCCTCCTCTCTCAGTGGAAGGAAGCTCCCCTCCCCTCCCCCACTGCACAGGTCCAGAAAACCAAGGTCTGCGGGGCGGTGCATTTCGCCTCGCTCTCCACCCCATACCAAGTCGCTGCCCTCACTCTTTGCCTCCAGGCCTCAGCTTCCTCCTCTTTAAATAGGAAGCGTG